ACTCACTACAAAAGTCTTTGGGAACCAGGCTCGACATGAGTACAACCTATCACCCACAAATCGACAGACAAAGCGAGAGAGCTATTAAAACGCTGGAAGAGATGTTGAGAGCTTGTGTGATAGACTTCGGTAAATCTTGGGATACCTACTTACTACTCATTGAATTCTCATACAATAATATTTATCACTCTAGCATTAAAGTTGCTCCATTTGAAGCCTTCTATGGGCGCAAGTGCAGATCACCTCTGTGCTAGGCTGAGGTGGGTGACACTTAGCTAGCTAGAGGACAAGTGCCTAACAACACTCTTACCGGCCCTGAGATCATACAGGAAACGACAGAGAAGATCATTCAGATCCGGGAATGACTAAAGGCATCTTGATACCGACAAAAGAGTTATTCCACTTGACAACGTGCACCCAACTTTCCATGTGTCCAACTTGAAGAAATGTCTGTCCGATGAGATTCTCGTTATTCCACTTGACGAAATTGAAGTAAATGAGAGTCTCCACTTCGTCGAGGAACTTGTAGAAATCATGGACAGGGAAGTCAAAAGAATGAAGCAAAGTCACATACCAATAGTAAAGGTCTGGTGGAACGCTAAGCAAGGACCTGACTTTACCTAGGAACGTGAGGACCAAATGAAACATAACTACCCACATCTTTTTCCCTAACTCTTGAGAACCAACTCGAAATGATAATTTCGGGACGAAATTCCTTCTAACAGGGGATGATGTGATAACCGTCAATTTTGGTCAAACAAAGTCAACAAAAGCCAACCAGGTCAACTCAACTCGTATTAGAATTTTAGGAGAAATGTGATATTCCCTAATGTTTCTAATGTACTATTGGCAAGTTATAATTCAAAGTACCTCTCTTTTTACCAATTATTGAATATAAACCCTAATTAGGGTTAGTAACGTAAAAATTCGATAATTCAATTATATATTATTTAGGTCAAAATAATATTCATAACACGGTGTAGTTGAGTTCATAAACTTTATACTACATGACAAATTTATAACAAAGGTTACATATTTGGATTTTTAGTGAATTCGTCACTAAATGCAACAAATTCTATACCCGACTTAAATACTCAAACTTTAACAAAAAGAATTAGGAATCATCCTAAGTTTCGTGTAATTTGTTATTGTTTGTATGGTAATAATTTTTATGATAATTTGAATTTAGATGATTCAAATTAAGTAATTATCCATCATTTTACCACACTTTTTATGAAAATCACAAACTCTTATAAAAATTATCCATTCTTTTATAAAAATAAACTAAAGAAACCACTTTTTTTCTTATATGGTTATTACATCTTTTATAAAAGATGTATTATTTAATTGAAAGAGACATTATTGATATAAAATTCAAGAAACCATGCCCTACTTCCCCCTCCACCCATCCCATCTTTTTCATTTTGTTCATCTCCTCCTCAAGAACAAGTTTTCCCTCTCAAGATTAATTTCCATAAGTTGGTTCTTGATTTCTTAGTAAGTTTTTCCTTACTTATCTAGTGATAATATATATATATATATATATATATATATATATATATATATATATATATATATATATATATATATATATATATGAGGATAAAGAGTTGGAGATGTGAAAGATTTCAAGTTAAGAACACTTGAAGATTGAAAGATCCTGTGGATGTTAACACATATTAATGTGTGTAATTGTAACAAAACTAGTGTGTATATATATATACACACACACACACACACACACACTAGTTTTGTTACAATTACACACATTAATATGTGTTAATATCCACAGGATCTTTCAATCTTCAAGTGTTCTTAACTTGAAATCTTTCACATCTCCAACTCTTTATCCTCCAAGAAACACACTCAAGGTGAGCTCACACCCCTCATTTTCATCTTTATCCAAGTGTTAGGGGAGAATACAAGTAAACTTGTATAATTGTACAGGTTGTTAGACATGCTGACTTTCATGTTGTGTAAAAATGTTATCTACATATAATGTTATTACCAAGTATTATGAACATTTATGTGTTGTATGTTGTTTAAAATACAAATCTATGAAAAATGAGTATAAACATGCTATACGTTCTTAAGAAAAAGTCATAAAAACAAAACTACAAAAACTAGGGTTTTTATATGAACATAATATAACTTTTTTTTAGCAAAAATGGTTAAAACCAAATTATTACACCATTTTTGTAGAATATAAATCAAAATATGTTATTTTGGACATATGTTATGAAACTAATTATAAATACGAAGAATTTGGTTTTACAAAAAGAAAACTTAAATATCTATTATTTTTTGTAAAAATTTGAGTTTTCTAACAAAATGGTCATAATCAGGTTATGATACAATTTTTGTGAGATTTAACCTAAAATATATTGTTTTAAACATATAATGTTAGCTTGAATTAAACTTCACAAAAAGGTAAAAATAAAGTTGAGAATACGTAAAAAGTCAAAAACTAGAAAACTGACTTTATCATACCAATAGTTCATATACTTGTGTTAGATGTATAATACTATAATATATGTTATTTATAAACATCTAAACATGTTAACTTTTATATATATATATATATATATATATATATATATATATATATATATATATATATATATATATATAGGTGTTGTTTATGGGTCATTAACACTATTATAACATTTTGGGACAAAAGGCATAATTATATAAAAGTATATAATTATTATGAACTATATTAATAATATGGTAAAGGGATATTTACACATACAAATGTTTTCATTACACCAAAACGTAAACTTGTTGAAACAATTATGCGAGACAAAGTCTTCATCATCCTGATTTATAACCAAAATCTTGGTAAGAGAGCGTGATACTTGTGTATAAATCTATACAAGACTAAAAATCCCGCACCTAAGCTGCTAGCTACAGCTAGATTTTTAGGTCTGGGGTGACAAATGTCTAATATTTCAACGTCTGAAGAATGTTACAGCAGACCAACTTCAGTTTTAATTAGCATGGTTGTAATAACTCACATGAGAAATCAACGATACATTTAGTTTACGGAGTAACATGCGTTCGAGTAGTTTTATATAAGAATAAAACTCATTTTTAAGGGAAATAATGGATTTCCTGTGAACAAACACTATCATTATACATGGAAAGAGTTACATATTTTTCACATACAAAACTCTTATGAACTTACAAATTTAATTGTTTACACTTTTCAAAACTACTTGTGTTCTCAGGGAACCGTTAAACAAGTAATCACAAGGCTTTTAAGGATGGGGTGTTATGACATCTTACTATTCATTTTGTCATCATAATGTAATTGGGTTTGAAACATAAAATACTTGGAAACAATGTAATATTTTCAATTATATTTATGATCGCTGGGTTTGCTTTGATCACTATTGTACATTATTTTGTGATACTGTTCGTGTAGTCATCAATCCCCAGACGTTTCCGCCATTTTGGTTTGAAGGTGTGATACATGATGTTTTGAATGAATTAATCAAAAGCAAATCGTCTTTCTTCTTTATGGTCTCCCTAAATATTTTATTAAAAGAAGAAACTAGTTTTTTTTATAAAAACTCTTCTACTTTTTATAACTCATAAAACATATAAATTCATATAAGACAATAACCCATTTTGATCCAAAAAGATATACATGACATAATAAATTATACCCTAGGATATATTATGAATTTATGATACGTTTTGATACTCAACATTTAAAATTAATATTTCCATGAAATAATTAATTTCCAATTAATTACAAGAATTATATTTATTTATCAAAGTTTAAATTCTTATAAATAATATATTTGCATGGAGTTGTTATTAGTGTGATCTTTTAGGATCTTATATTATCTAGCAATATAATTTTATAATGACTCTTGGACATATAGATCTTTCAAGGTTGTATAGATAAACTGATACTCTGTTCAAATTTTCTTCGTGCTCACTCTCTGAGAAATTCATCTTCGAGCAGTTATAAGAGATAATTACGAATTATCGGGAGGTAAAGGTCTAAGTACATGCAGGCACGCACATATATATATATGTAAGAGACGAAAATTAAGTTTCTAATTCGAAATAATGGTCCTGAATACTTGTTCAGAACTGGTGTCATTGTCACTTCACAGTAGGAGGCTGACGATCGTATATAAATTCCTATTTCGGAATGGCAGTTCGGAATTTACGAAGATTCTTGTGTTGGACCAGAGCTCCGAAATGAGTACACATAGTTCGAAATGCTATATATTGGAGAAAGTTGTCAAACAAGGCTATGGTGTACCTTACTCTGAAATGACCTATTGCAAAGAAAGTTGTCCTTATATATATATATATATGTGTGTGTTGTTATTATTATATAAGTGTGGTTATTATTATATAAGAGTGGTTATTATTATAAAATTATTCGTGTATAAGAATTAGATTACTCAATTTCCTTTATATAAGAGTAAACTTTGAAATCGTTCCTATAGTTTGATTTTGTTGCGTTTTTCGTCCCTTACATACATAAAGTTAGGGATAAAATGTGCAATTTTGACCAAACCATAGGTTCGAAAAACGCAACAAAATCAAACCATAGGGACGATCCGAATGCAAAAAACATGTTAGCGATCAAATGTGTAATTTTAACCAAACCATAGGAACGATTTCAATAATTTACTCCTTATATAATTTTTCCTAATTTGATCGAAGTACCTCATCATATAATAGAGTAAATTACACGAATGGTACCTATGGTTTGGGGTAATTTGCGCGTTTGGTCCCTAACTTATTTCTTTAACTCGGAAGGTCCCAACAATATGTTTTTGTTGTGCGCTTGACTTATATTTTACCCAAAAATGCTATTTTGCCTTTGATTTTTAATTTATTTAAATAAGGTGGGGTAGGTAAGATAAGGTGAGGTGGAAGTAAGGATGAGGGTGTGTTTATTTAAATAAATTAGAAAATCAAAGGCAAAATAGTATTTTTAGGTAACACAAGGACCAAATACGCAACAAAAACAAACAATATGGACCTTCCGAGTTAAAAAAAATAAGTTAGAAACCAAACGTACAAATTACCCTAAACCATAGGGACCATTCGTGTAATTTACTCTATAAAGATAAAAAGCAGCTGTTGTGCAAAACATGAGAATCAATTTTAAAGATGTAGTTGAAGATGTTCCTATCAAACCTTTTCTCCATAATTTAAACCCGTTCCTTTTTTACTTGATGACTGAATAGGACGTACATGAGACACATCCATCAAGTCAAAAACCAGCATCCTCCACAAGTTTCATTTGTGAGTAGATTTGATTTACCAGCATCCGAATCTCATTAATCGCGAAATGAGACACATCCCCTCCAACAAAATAATGCCACGTATCCCCAATCTCCATCCAACTAAACCCCGTTTGCTTCTTGACCTCATTTCCCTTCATCAAACCCCTCACCCGTGTCACTTCTCTCCACAAACCCAATGAAGCATAAATATTCGACAACATAACATAAGCCCCCGAGTTTTTCGGGTCAAAACCCGTAAGTTTCTCAAAAGCTAATTCCGCCAATTCGGTATTATTATTCATGCTAAAACTACACCCCGCAAGAATGGCACCCCAAACTCCAGCATCGGGTTCAAATGGCATTTCTTGGATTATTTCATAAGCTTTTTTAACTTCACCCGATCTACCCAAAATATCAATTAAACACGCGTAATGCTCCGAACGTGGGGCCACGTTGTAAAAAGATTTCATTGACTTGAACCAATATAAACTCTCTTTCACCTTACCTGGATCATCAATAACAGTTAACATTTCAGCGACTTCTTTAGGATATTATACTTTGAAAAACCTTTGCTTTGTGTATGGATGACATTAATACAATTAATTTTAGTTAGATTTTTCAAGACATAAATAAACAGATTATAAAAACGAATAATTGTGTACCTACCTGCATGACCACAAGCTGAGAGCAAGCTAAGAAAGGTGATCCCATCGGGTTCAATTCCATGCAATTCAATCTTTTTAAATAATTCAAGAGCTTTCTCATATGCTCCATGTTGTGCAAAAGCTGCAATAATTGTGTTCCAAGAGACAATATTTGGAGTTTTTATATGTTCAAAAGCCGACTCAGAGTCAGGAAGACATCCACATTTGCTATACATTGTGATCAAAGCATTTCCTACAGAAACATGTGTGCTTAATTTGAGTTTGAATACAAGTGCGTGTGTTTGTTTGCCTTCTGTTAATGATGCAAGACTTGAACATGCAGAAAGAATGGAAACAAGGGTGTATTGATCCGGTTTTAGTGGAGTTTGAATCATACGGGTGAGTAGTTTTAGTGCTTCCTCACCTCTCCCATTGTGGGCATAACCTACCAACAATCAAGAATTAGTACTTAGGTAAATGACCATTTTACCATTGTGTCAAGTAAACATACCTGTTATCATAGCATTAAAAGAAACATCATCTTTACATTCAATTTCTTCAAACAACACCCTGGCATCTTCCATCTTTCCTTCCTTGCAATAACCAGTAATCATAGCAGTTATAGCAACTACATTCTTGCATGGCATCCGACCAAAGATTTCTCTAGCCTCATCAAATTGTTCATTTTCAACATATGCACTGATCATCACAGTCCATGAAACTTCATTACGAGTTGTCATGGAGTCAAATAACTCCCTAGCTTTCTTCACGTCCCCTTTCTGTGCATACCCATCAATCATAGCTGTATAAGATATCACATTTCTCTTTGGCATTTGTTCGAAAAGCTCCACAGCTTCGTCTACTCTTTTATACCTAATAAAACCCGAAATCATAGCATTCCAAGACGCTGTATTTCTCTCAGGCATCTCGCTAAAGTAAGCAAATGCAATATCGATCATACCATTTTCAACACAACCAGCGATCATCGAGTTCCAAGACACTACATTTCTCAGAGGCATTAGATCGAACATTCTCTTCGATTCTTCAATAAATCCGTTTTTCCAGTAACCGGTGATGACCGCGTTCCATGAGACAACATCTCTAGTAGGCATTTCGTCGAACAGTTTACGGGCAAGATCCATTTTCCCGGCACGTGAGAGTTTGCCGATTCTAACATTTGAGGAGTATACATCTCGAAATGAATGAAAGTTTGGAATGTGTGTTAGGAAATAGCGACTGATGCAACGGTCTGAAGTGATGGAAGATAGATTGTGAAGTTTTGCCCGGGGAAGCCGCGAGACAAGCATCCGGGAATTGAGAAACTTGGTTCACAGAAAGACCGCAGCAGGAAATAGTTGAAATGATTAAGGTTAAAGACTATACAAAAATACACGATTGGTTCTTGTGTTTTATTATTATCTTTTTGGGATAATGATTTGAAAGGGTAACAAACTTTCGATTTTGTTCACATTTAGTCACTAAACTTTTTTTCGTTATCTATTTACCATTGAACTATTGAAACTGATCACATTTTACCCTTATGACCGGTTGTTACCGGCCATAAGGGTAAAATGTGAACAATTTCAATAGTTTAGTGGCAAATATAAAACGAGAAAAAGCTTAGTGACTAAATGTGAACAAAATTGAAAGTTCGTTTCCCTCTAAAAAGTTCAATGACTAAATGTGAACAAACTTTCTATTGTATTATGTTTAAGCAAATTATTTATTTTTGTTTAATTGTAGGAACATTTGTTGATGAAGAAATCTATGAAATAAAAAAAAACAAAATGTAACATCCAGATTTCCAGGTATCATAATTTAAGTATTTTTCTTTTGAGTTAAGAAGAGAGACTCGACGAGTTGACGCCTCAACTCGTCGAGTAAGGTCGCGACTGATGACTCAGATTATTGAATGGACCCGACGAGTCCGCACTGTTGGCAAAAACCCTAAATCTTTGGGCCCGAGCCATATTTAAAGGCACTTATGGCCTTCAATTGCGACTACATTTCCCATAATTGAGAACCCTAGCGAGCTTGAGTGTGTAGAATGAGAGGAAGAGCTATCTTGCGCTTTTTGGTGTGATTTTGCAAGAAAGGAGAAGAGTTCCAACAAGAGGGACCAAGGAAAGTTATTGTTCTGAGTTATTCAAGCAAGGAGCTGATGGGTTTTATACAAACAATCCTATGTGTGCATGCAACCCTAGAATTGGATCTATGTTTTACTATTAGTTACACAACTTTATGAACACAAAAAGAAACCTAATGAATCATACTACTTTCGAAATTCACCAAGAAGATTAGATTACATACCTCTTGTTGTTATATTGCAATAACAACTCAAATCCTCCTTGTAATGGCTTTAGAAAGCTTAGAGTCACAAGTGTCACTCCTCTAGTGGCTCACAAAAACCAAGAGCAAGAGGATGAAGAATGATAAGAGATGAGGCACCCAAAAACGTGTGGAAACCCTAAGGAAACTCTTGGCCACATTTTTGGTGCTCTAGGGATCCTTAAATAGTGAGGCTATTAGGGTTATCTAACAAGGAAACCCTAATTTGACTGCTTAAGCCCTAAGCAACCCATGGACTCCCTCCTTAGAGGCCTAGGGCGATTTCTAATGGGTTTCCCATAGAATTCGTTCACCCCTCTAATATGGAGTCCATTAGCCCAAAATTCAACTATCATACAATTGACAATTCTAGTCCCTTAAGTTTAATTAATGTCTTTTAGCCACAAAGATAATTCTTAATTAATTATTGACTAATATTAATTAAACAATATGATTTCTCCTTTAATATATTATTCTCATAATATATTAATAAATCATAATTAATCCCCTCTCTCCATAATTCATCCTATCAAGTTGCTCTGGTGAAGGCAACCCAAAAGGACCATGCACCATCGGGTCAAGTACATATCAAAATAGTTATGAACTTAGATACTAATCCAACAGGAGCTTCATTATGAGGTACAAAAATGAACCCTTTTCCTTCCCTATTTGTAACATCCGTAAAATACAACCAATTTAAAATTTTTCAAAACAACCCGATTTTCATTAAAAGTTTACAAAAAGGTTTTCAATACAAGTCATTAGAGTATTCCCAGAATCACATTGCTACAAAATCATGAAAGAGCGGTACGATCGCGCCTTCGCCTTGCCACAGTCTCCTGAAGAACCTGAAAAACATTAAACCACAACTGTAAGCCCGAAAGCTTAGTGAGATACCCCCATTATACCAACCACGCAGACGCCCTTCCAGGCTGCGACCTTCCGGTCCAAACATATAAAACATACATAACATAACAGAACATAGAACAGCCATGCATATCGGGTCTACCGTGTGACTGGTCCGCCGTATCGGGCCTTCAGTCCAACGGATCCATCCTCCAGGTCTAGTCATGTCCTTCGAGTCTACAGTGGGGTTGGTCCGCCCGCATCGGGCCTTCAACCCACCTGGTCCACTCTCTGAGTCTACAGTGTGACTGGTCCGCCCGCATCGGGCCTTCAGTCGGCCTGGTCCACTCTCCGAGCCTCGGCACGTCTGGTCCGCCCTCGTGGGGCCTACAGCCTATCCGGACCGCTCGCTGGGCCTTCGGAACAACCGGTCCGCCCTGGGTATCTTGGCCTACAGCACAAAGCAGGACCCGCCTCAACCCATCTCCAGTCCAAACAACCATGTGCACAAAACATACATTCATATAACAGTCATAGTCAACAAACCGAGCAAGCAGATCACATAGCATATCATTACCCTAACCGGGTTACCGACCTAACCGGTCACTAGCATAGCATCACTCTGTATATCGGGAAACTGACCTTAGCAAGGCCTCCTAGCATGTACCATCCTAGCTACCAGGATGCAGACACATCAAACAATAACATAATAACCATAACCGAATCTCAATACAATAAAGGGCCGGCCTTGGTGCCTTAGACCCTGTTGATATAGTGAGGATAACTCACCTCGAAACTGTCGGCTGAAAAGATAAGATCCCGCTGCTCCGAACTCTGACACGAACTCCTCCACTAAACATCAAAACATACAACTCAATAAATACCCTTAATTACCAAAATACCCCTGGAAGACAACTGGTCAACCTTGGACAAGTCAAAGTCAACCCCTGACTGACCCTACTCGCCGAGTCAACCCGATGACTCGCCGAGTCCATATGCTCAGAACTTCCTTCAATCAGCGACCCAACTCGCCGAGTCACCCCAAGACTCGTCGAGTCCAACAACTCTGAGTCCACTCGCACCCAACTCACCGAGTCATCCCTTGACTCACCGATTCATCGACTCAACCAGAAATATTGGGACTTCCTCGACAAGACTCGCCGAGTCCAAATGGACTCGTCGAGTCCAAGGCCATCTTCAACCTACTCGCCGAGTTGTTCTTCCAACTCGTCGAGTTCCAGGCCATCTTCAAGCAACTCGTCGAGTCCACCCATGTGACTCGTCGAGTACCACCGGTCTGAATCCATACAGAAGCATCTCAGGCCATGCAATTGATCCAAAACATAGATCCAACCTCCTACAATCCATCCATCACGTAAAGTGGCAAACTTTACGTGAATCTAACGAGATCTAAGCCATATTCACCTTAAAACCAAGGTTTGGGACATGGTGCTTCACTAACACACAAACACAGGAACTTTAATGCACTCTAGGCCTTCAATATTCCAGATCTGAGGTAGCAACCTCAGATCTATCCTCCAAACTCCAAAACATTCCAAGACATACTCCCCACAAACCCCAAAATGATGAAACTAGGAATGCACAGCCTAAGGACGAAGATATTACCTCCAAAAGATGCCTCAATAGCAGCCAAACTCGAATCCAAGCAAAGCCCTTTGATCCAAGCCACTTCTCCTTCAAGATCTCTTCAAACAACACCTCTCCAAGCTCTAATTTGCTCCACAAATGATCTCTCCACGAATTTAGGGTTTCTGGAACTCAAGGGGGGAATAAGGGAGGCTGTGGAGGGGTATAATGCTCTTTATATAGGGCTCAACCCCGAAAATTAGGGTTTTCTCCATACAGCACCTACTCGCCGAGTCCATCTAGGGACTCGCCGAGTAGGCCACTTGACACGCGACCATGACCGCGACCTGACTCGCCGAGTCAGCCATGGACTCGCCGAGTCATCCTCTAAAACTTACACTTTTAGCCCTTCAACTCTACTCTTGCGATTCCGGGATGTTACAATTCTCCCCCACTTAAATTAGGCTTCGTCCTCGAAGCCTTCGGCATCACATCTTTAAATTATTTCCCACGATGCACCACTTGACCTTGACCGAACCAAGTCCCTCAAGGTACAACCATAGAACCAGAAGCTCACTTTCTCCTTCCATACGGTGTCCCCACCACCTACTCAAACCGGGCACCAACTGTACCTCTGATAACCACTCAACAACCGAGAATTACCCATGATGCCTTATGCTCAATTCTCATCTTCACTTGACTCATATGGCTATAAAGCCACGAACCATCGGATTCCCGATCCGAATTCCACTCTATCCATCCCATGCCGACCGAAAGACCCATTCCTCCATTTCGGAGCAACTCCCCCGAGTTCTCCTCTCGCAATCACACACACATGCTGATCTAGCTCTAGCACCCTCAGTGTGGATAACCTGATACACTGATGATATCCTCAAACATCCTTCCAGGATGAACCACTATACATACCAAAACCCTGATCAGAATCACTGAGAGTCCAAGACTCTTTCTCTGTATCCCTTCCGAATCCCTCTCCCTGGCTCTACGCGTGGTATTCCCTCCGCGCCCAGAGCAACATACAAGTCGAATGAGCTTTTATTCTACCGCCGCAACACGCTACTCAAAGACCATCGACAGACCACTCCAATCATAACTCTACACTGCCGCTTTCACTTCCGTGAATTCGCACTCCCTTTTGGAATTTCATTCCTCCCTCTTTCCTTACCAAGGAAACCGTTGTCCGCCCAGTCACCATGGCAGGCACTATGGTGCTCATCCCACGCTACACTACGTGTTTAAAGCGTACTCAACCTCCATGCATCACCACTACTCTGACTCTCATCACAGGGACTCTCAAACCCATGCACTACCTTCACTGCTCAAGATCACTACCCGGGGCCAGACCTCCCAATGTAATCCCACTGCATATACGCACCATAACCTCGAACCGATCCAACAATACTCGCAGAGTCTTCAGCATGACTGGACCGCCTCCCAGGCCTTCAGCCAATCTGGACCACTCTCAGAACCTTCAGCCAATCTGACTGGACCGTCCTCCGAGCCTTCGGTCTGACTGGTACGCCTACCGGCCTTCAGTCTATCCGGACCGCTCAACTAGCATTCATCACTCCGAACCATCCCTTCGGGAAAT